AGACGCTCTAGCCACTGAGTCAAGCCAGCAAGGGCCACTCGCCAACATTCTGAATCATCTCTGGGGATTACACAGGCCATTGCTGCAGGGATGGCACATGCGTGGCAGTCATTATCAGAAGCCGGCAGTGATGGTTGAGAGGGTAGATCCTGGAACCAAGGGCCGGGATTCAGTCCCACTCTCAGCCAGAGCCCCGTGACCAAGGCAGCCTTCCTTCCCTTCCGAGTGTGTCCTCATCCCAAAGGGGGGATTAGCGTGTTACTTACCTCGTGGGGCTGCTGTGAGGATAAATTCATCAATCCACGTACACCACTCAGACTGGCGCCTGACCGACGTGCTTAATACAAGTATTTTGCTACTAAAGGTATTTTGCTATCGCTATTATGAAAACAAGCTCGCTGGTACCCGGAGGAGAGAGGACCAACTCTCCTTCAGAGGCAACTGAGAAAAGCCTGCATTGGCTTGAAAAATAGAACCCCACCCCCGCCCCCACCAGCAGAGAACATGTTTCTGGTCTCTTATATGTCAGGCATTATGACTTGTTTCTTATACATATATTCTCTCAGCGATTAATTCTCTCACCAGTCCTATGATGTGGTGCATGGGAATAAAGCCCTTCTTTGAACAAATAAGGAAGAAGAGGCCCTGAGAGGAAAAACGGGCCATTCAAAGTCATACCAACCGTGAAGAGCTAACCATAACGAACATCTATAATAATAAAAGCATAATATGCTAACAACCATAACGAACATCTATAACAATAAAACCATAATATGCTAATTAGATCGGACGTCCTTCTGGACAACCTTATGGATGAAGGTGGGGCTGTGAGGACCGAGTGCCCCTTACACAAATTTCGTGCATCGGGCCTCTAGTATATACATATAAACAATCCAAATGAACTTATAGAGATGAAAACTACAATATCGGACATGAAGAATACACTGGCCAGGATGAAGGATAGATTGTATATTTCAGGAAAATATTAATGAGCTTAAAGATATAACAATAGTAACAACATGAAACAGTGAACAAAACTGAAAAAATGAACAAAGAACAAATAAAATTTAAAATAAATTCAAGAAGCTAAATAAACATGTAACTCAAGTCCTAAAAAGGATAATAGAAAGTACAGGAGGAGAAAGTACATTCAAAGAAATCAAGACTAAATATGTACAGAACAGTAGTTAGACATGATTATAACATGATTCCCCCTGGCAAGTCTAGTACCCACCGGGCACCATGCACACCAGTAGTTATTACAGCATCATTGACTATATTCCCTAGGCCAGTGATGGCGAACCTATGACCCGCGTGTCAGAGGTGACACGCGAACTCATTTTTTTGGTTGATTTTTCTTTGTTAAATGGCATTTAAATATATAAAATATAAGTCTTTGTTTTACTATGGTTGCAAATATCAAAAAATTTCTATATGTGACACGGCACCAGAGTTTGCTGTGACAGGACTGCTTCTACCCATTCATACCTCTTAATCCCTTCACCTTTTCACCCAGTCCCCCACCCCGCTTCCCATCTGGCAACCGTCAGTCTGTGCTCTATGAGTCTGTTTCTGTTTTGTTTGTCCATTTATTTTCCTCTTTAGATTCTACATGTAAGTGAAATCATGTGTATTTGTCTTTCTCTGTCTGACTGATTTCACTGAGCATCATACCCTCCAGGTCCATCCGTGTTGTTGCAAATGGCAAGATTTCATTCGTTTTCACGGCTGGGTAACATTCCAGGTCTATACGTGCTACCTGTTCTTTCTCCAGCTGTCTGCAGATGAATATTCTTAGGCTCCGTATCTTGGCTGTGGTAAAAACGCTGCAGTGAACAGAGGAGGTGCATCTGTCTTTTCAGATTCGTGGTTTTCATTTTCTCTACTTTCTTATATTTCTTCTCCACAGATGTTGTAAAAACTGTGTCTGAATTTATCAAAGCTGGGATCTCCTTCAACACGTATATGTTCCACGGGGGAACCAACTTCGGTTTCATAAATGGGGCCACGGATTTTGGGGAACACAGCAGTGTCGTCACCAGCTATGGCAAGTGATCGTCGGTTTGGTCCCCCTCCAGCAGTGGGGGTGCTGGAGGCTCCGAAAACATATTCTGGCACCCCTGAGTTCTTGACCTCTAATCCATGCTGAGAATTGAGGATTTTCTGATCTATTTATCTTTCTTCTGTGATATTCATAATGCCCACAACAGGCTCTCATTGCAGTAGATGGGGCTGCTGAGGACCTAAAGTTCATGTACATTGACACCTTGACTTGAACCGAGAGACAGAGAGAGAGAGAGAGAGAGAGAGCGAGAGAGAGAGAGAGAGAGATTACTGGTGGTGATTGCTAGAAGGGCATCAATGGGCACAGCTGGGCAATCCGGATGGAAGGAAGAAGAGAGTGAAGCAGAGGATGAGCCAAGTGGCCCGGCAGCCTCAGAGTCCCAGGAAGGGCGATGGGAAACACTCCTAGCTAGATTGGCATTGGTCCCATAAGGCCTAGCCTGGGATGGACCGGGCCAGGGGTGGGGACCATGTGTCTTCTGTTTCCTTCTGGTGGCCCTGCCCCATCTCTGCCAGAAGCGCCGAAACGGGGTCTGCCTGGCAGGGTTGCCTGGCCAGTGACGTGCCCTGCTGTCTTGCAGACTATGATGCTGTGCTGACAGAGGCTGGGGATTACACCGAAAAATACTTCAAGCTTCGGAAACTCCTTGGATCCGTCTTAGGTACCCAGCCACCATTTTTACTCGAGGGCTGGCTCTCCTCGTGTATTGGAAGGGCGAGGACAGGGCAGGATTTCCCCTGTGGGCACAAGCTTCATGAAGGGCTTCAGAGCCAGGGTCACAAGTTCGAATCCTGGTCTTCCCGCGTAAAAGCTGTGTGGTCTTGCATGAGTGTTTTTAAGCCCTTTAAACCTGTTTTCTTCCCTGAAACGTGAACACAATGATACTCGTCTTCTGTAATGATTGTGAAAATTACTGTTCGTAAAGCTCTTAATATAATGTATAACATAATACCCGTATAGACAATAGCAAAAATCATTCTATGTAATTTTATTTCTCTAAGGAAAGTTAACTAACCATCTACTATGTGCTAGAAAGTAGGTAACCACTGGCCTTGCCGAAAGGTATAAGGCAGAGGTCTTGCCCCCTAAGGGCCTTCCGTCTACACAGCCAACACTACCCCTTCAGGGTCTGTATCTGTCAGCTCTCCATGCATACAGAATGGCTGCAACCTCATTCTTTCTTTCTTTTTCAAATCCCTCCCCCAAGGATATTTTTCCATTGATTTTTAGAGAGACTGGAAGAGAGAGGGGAAGACAGAGAGAAATATTGATGTGAGAGAAACACATGGATTGGTTGCCTCCTGCATGAGAGGAGCCTGCAACCGAGGTACATGCCCTTGACCGGAATCGAACCCGGGACCCTTCAGTCTGCAGGCCAATGCTCTATGCACTGAACCAAACGGCTAGGGTTGCAACCTCGTTCTTGACAGTTGTTCCTCACTCTTGGAGAAGTGTAGCCATGCGCCAGGAGAGGACCCCTTTACTGGTTGGGATACGAGAGTTTATGTATCAGGACGGGGAGGCTGGGAGAGGGCAGTAGCTAGTCCAGGCATGTCTTGCCCATGGCCCACTTTCATTGCAGCATCTCCCCTGCCCCCCTTACCTGAGCTCATTCCGAAGGCTGTGTATCCTTCTGTGAGACCATCCCTGTACTTGCCACTGTGGGATGCCCTACAGCACTTAAACAAGGTGAGTACTGCCGGGCATTAGGGGGAGAAGGCCTTCAGCCACACAGAGATAAATTCTTTCAAGGCTTTTCCCTGGACAGTGTGAAAACGAATTCTCTGCATGCTGCCCCAGTTTAGAACTATGGGGTCAGACCACACGCTCCTTCCCGGTGGACTGTGAAGGGGCTGCTGGGACTGGAAGAATGAGTGGGGTGGGGAGAGGCTGAGTATGAGAGGGTCCTGTTTCCCAGCTCCGATGAACCCGTTTGGTGAATGCCTTTGTGGGCCCACGTGGACCCTGTGGGAAGGGCTGCTGAGCCGGGAACCGGGAAACTGAGTTTCTGATTCTTTTTCACCATCCACTAGGCCAAACCTCGGAAGTTCTACAGGTCCCTGCTCTCCCTTTAAAAGTAGACAACCTGCCCTATTTTTTTTTTTATTAGTTAAGGTATTACAAATGTGTCCTCATCACCCCCATTAACCCCCAACAACCTGCCCTATTTTAAAGAAAAGTTTGGAAACTGTTTGAAACATGTCAAGTCTTGAATTCAGATTGATTTTACCTCTTCTTATCACCGTTTTAGATAAAAAGAAGTGCCTGACACATTGCAGAGGCTAAATACATGCTTATTTAGTGCATAATTCTTTCCTCGACTTCAGTGATGGTAGTACACAACTTATCTGCTCTGTTCATCAGTGGATGATGACAGCCATTGCTCCCTGTCCCATGCCCCCGCCCCGCCCCGAGTCTCCTGCTCAGTGGAGATATAAAGCATCAGCACATAGATGTTTTAGCGTTTCTCATCCAAAGGACTTTGGGGATCATTAGGAGGCAGAACAAAAAAGACAAGGGCCTTAGGGGAAGAACCCTGAGTTCTCAGCACATGGCTCGCGTTTCCACCACGGCTCTCTCACAGCCCGTCATATCCAGCGCACCCGTCAACATGGAGAGGCTCCCCATCAACGCTGGGAATGGTCAGTCCTACGGGTTCGTGCTTTACGAGACACCCATCTGCGCCGGAGGCCGGCTCCGTGCGAACGTTCGAGACACGGCACAGGTAGGGGCCAGCAGGCTGTCTGTGGCGGTAAGCAGGACATGTAGCCCAACTCTGCTACTGGGAAGGGTGGTTGTACGCTGGTCAGCTGTGCTGTGTGGTAGTAATTTATTTAAAAATATTTTTACTGATTTGAGAGAGAGAGAGAGAGAGAGAGAGAAACATCAGTGATGAGAGAGAACCATTGATCGGCTGCCTCCTGCAAACCCCCTACTGGGGATCAAGCCCCACAACCCGCTAAGTGCCCTTGACCGAATGGAACCTGGGGACCCTTCAGTCCACAAGTTCGCCCCACAACCCGCTAAGTGCCCTTGACCGGAATGGAACCTGGGGACCCTTCAGTCCACAAGTCGACGCTTTATCCACTGAGCCACGCCGGCTAGGGCTGTTTGGTAGTCATTTAAAGCACCTACTATGTGTGAGGCACTGAGAACCCAAGCTCACACCAAAGAGACTGGCTTTCTGCTTTATCACAACCAAGTCCACTGGGGCCTCGCTGCCAGCTGCCAGCCAAGTGTGAGCACCGAGGCTAGTGCCTTTACAATGACCTCCTCCCTAAGCCAGAGCCTCTCTCGGCCCTCCCCTCAGGTAGGTCTGCCGGTCTGACCCCAGCTCTTGTTTTGCAGGTGTTTTTGAACGAGACACATATAGGGACCCTGGATGGTGGTAAACAGAACTTGCACATCCCTAAAGTCAAGGTAGGTAATGCAGGAGTCTCGATGCTACTGGACCTCCGACTCAAATGTAACCGCTCCCTGGTTCTGAGATGACTGCCTGGTCTCTACCACGGCCCTTTGGCATCGCTGGTGACTTAGGGCCCCAGCAGCAAGTGTTTGTCTAGAGCTCTGAGCATAACCGCCTCTCCCAGGCCCGAATACACCAGGAGCTGCAGAATACAAGCTTCGGTGTGAATGGAATTTCCCCTTTAAGCCCTGAGCCAGCCATCAGCCGCGGGTCTGGTCTCTATCAAAGCACAACTGCGTCTCTCTGGCCTCCCTAAGGCAGACCAGCGGGAGAGAGGAGAGGCTGGGTGTGGGATGGGGGCACACAGGGTCCTTAGAGAGAGGGTGGACGGCCGGGCTTGGGGGCGTCCTGTCTCCCACTTGCTTGCCTTTCCAGGTGGGACTCAGAGGAAAGGGGGTTCTAGAGTATCCCCCTGTGTGGCTGTGTGGGTTCCGTGAACTGGTCTGTCCCCAACAGGGATGCCAGCTCCTGAGGATCCTGGTGGAGAACCAAGGACGAGTCAACTATTCATGGAAAATTCAAGACCAGAGGAAAGGTGGGCTCTAGGCCTGAGACACAGGCTGTCCGTTCTCTTCGTGGTCACTCAGACCCTCAGACGGGGGCTGAGTTGGAGCTGGGAGGGAAGAGGGAGCCACGTAGGTGGGGGCGGAGGGGGAGATTTAGGATCCAGGACTGAAGGTGAGGACTCCTCCCCTCTCTGTTGTCCTGCCTCCTTAGTTTCTCCAGGGCAGGGGTGGGTGGCTAGGCTGGGTGCTGGCTGGTCCTAGAGCAGGATCCGGGCCCATCTGGGGAATTTCAGGAAAAGCTCTGATTTTATAAAAAATATGTTTTTATTGATTTCAGAGAGGGAGAGAGAGAGAGAGAAACATCAATGATGAGAGAGAATCATGGATCGGTTGCGCCCTGCACGTCCCCCTACTGGGGAACGATCCTGCAACCAGGGCATGTGCCCTGACCTGGAATCGAACCATGACCTCCTGGTTCATAGGTTGATGCTCAACCGCTGAGCCACGCCGGCCGGGCAAAAGCTCTGATATTAAGTGGGGGCCTTCCTCGGTCGGCCTTGTGTATGAAAACATAGGAGAAACCTTCTGTCGCAGCGAGTCAGACAAATGTTTGCCCTCCTGGCTGGAGCCTGGCACAAGATGTCTGCTGCCTGCTTTTCTTTGTCCCAGACACTAAGAGAGAGAGAGAGAGAGAGAGAGAGAGAGAGAGAGAGAGAATCAGTGGCTAGCCGTGGTCTTTCTTCCCTCCCCCTGCAGGAGTAACCGGACCCGTGACCATCAATAGCATCCCCCTGGAGGGATTCACTATCTATTCCCTGGAAATGAAAACGAGCTTCTTTGACAGGTATGTTCCCACTTATTCCTGGGAGACTTGGCGGGGTCAGGGCACTCAGAGATTTCAAACTCTTCACTTGGCAGACGAAGAGCCCGGGATTCTGAGAACGGAAGTGATTTACTCGGGATGATAGAGTCTTTAGAGTCCGGACTGGAGACCTAGAACAAGTCTCCCGTTTCTCACTTTAATGCTTCACGTCTGCACGTCCCATAGAAACAGAGCCCTAGTCCCTGCGTGGGAAACCCGGGTCCATATTGGGGCTAGAATCGGCAAAGGGCTTTCCTCTCCCTCAAGGCGTGGCCCCTTTTCCAGGCTCCGCTCTGCCGCCTGGAGGCCTGTCTCCAATAGCTCCCTGGGCCCTGCCTTCTACCTGGGCACCCTGCAGGCTGGCCCTTCTCCCAGGGACACCTTCCTGAGGCTGCTGGTGAGTGAGCGCCCTCTTCTCTCTGCTCTCTCAAATGCCTAGTCTTTCTTTTTAAAATTTTATTTATTTAGTTTAGTTTGTTTTTCTTCTGTTACATCTATTGTTTCTTAAAGAGTCTTGAAGCAAAGTCATAGTGTTCCAGGCAAGAATACTTCCCTTCCTTCCTCACCTCCAACCCAGTCATCCAGCATCTAATTTCTAATTTATCATCTTTCTAATTTATCATCGTTGTTCCAACTATTGCCCATGGAGAGGGAGGTTGGGGAACTGGGCGGAAAAGGTGAAGGGGTTAAGAAGTAGAAATTGGTAGTTACAGAACTGTCACAGAGATGTGAATTATAGCCTAGGGAATGCATCCGGTAATATTGTAATAACTATGTGTGGGGCCAGGTGGGTACTTAAAATATCGGGGTCGGCGGAAACTTTATCAAATATATGATTGTCTAACCACTATGCGGTATCCATGAAACTAATACAGAATAATATTGAATGTAAACTGTCTATTATTTAATAAGGTTCCCCGTTATCCACTTTCGGTTCCTCTAAGCTTGCGAGGCTACGAAAGTTCTGCTCAGTTTCCCAGCACTTCTTCCTGTCTCTAGTGGAAAAACTGTTCCCATGTCTTCTTGTTTCTCAGTTTTCTTCTCCCAGATTTTGGTCCTGTAATTATTCATTGCATTGCAAACAGATTAAAAAATGGTGTCACGTTTATAGCTGTTGTCAGCAGAAGCGTCCATCTCTGTTAAACTAGGACTTATTTCTGGAAGACCTGCTTTTAAAAGCATCTATAGCATTATATATCAGAGGGCAGGAACAAGAGTCACATTAGCATCGAAAGGTTGTTCATGCTTTCCTCTGTCATCCTTAGACCAGGTACAGTAGGGTAGAACTTCTAGAACAAGCATGCCAAACTCACAGGCTAACACGGGCCAAATAAACAAGGTTTAAGTGTATATGGGCCGCAAAAAAGCAAAAGCTTCATAGAAACGTAGGTTTATTTCAATAGAGACATGAATGCAACACGGTTATAATCATCAGTCATTAGCGAACGTTGTAGTTCATTATTAATAATTATGTATAACAGGATATTGTAAAAATTAAGTTATGAAATTTTTATTAAAATGTTTCTTACATACCGTTATATTGGCTGGGCCACAAAAATATTCGTTGTGGGCCACGTGCGGCCTGCGGGCCACGAGTTTGACATGCTTGTTCTAGAACATACCCCATTGTGAACTCACTGTCAGGGCCACGAAGCATCTCAGTCTTGTTCTCACTCCCCAAGCACCTTAGATTGTACGTTGCCCGTGTGAATCTGTCCCCCTGCCTCAAGCCTCCATCCCTCCCAGGACTGGAGTTATGGATTTGTGTTCATCAATGGCCGTAACCTTGGGCGATACTGGAATATTGGACCACAGCAAACACTTTACCTTCCTGGGGCCTGGCTGCATCCGGAAGACAATGAGGTGAGTCACCCCAACCCCTGCCTTTACATCTCACACATTTTCAGATCTGCCTTCATCCCCAGGATGCAGATCACAACATCTTTCTCATCCTGTATTGAACAGGCTCACCACTTCTCACTGTGAGCCTTTCTGTTCTTCCCAGATCATTGTGTTTGAAAGAAGCAAGAGTGGTTCGTCCATCCAAACTACAGATAAACCGAAGCTGTAAGACTGTGTTGTAACATTTTCTTTGGTGGATTGTTGGAGTTCGTCTACCAGCAGGTTTTCAGGAGGAAGATGTATGTCTAGAATACCAAACACACTGTTGTCTGCAATAGCAAATATTGGAAATAATATTCAACAGGGAAATTGTTATATATATTGTAGTATAGTCATATGATGCCTATTTTTAGGTCTTAAAAAAGCCTTCAAATCTTCAGGGACTGGATTTACGTAGTTAAAGCTAAGTCCTTAGCAGGTTATTATTCTCCAATTAAATGTGCCTTTTGGCAGATGTGAATAAAATAAAAACAAGCTGGATGTATCTCCACTTCTTCATACTCAGTTGGGAGGATGTGAAGGGTCTCTGGCCTAAGAAAGAGTAAGAATTACTGCTCTCTCCATGCCGGAGTATTTCTGTCTGGCAAAGTCCTGGTGTGTATGTGTGTACTGGTATGTGGTGTGTGTGTGTGCGTTTGCGTGTGCGTGCGTTGTAGGAGGGGGAATGCAGGAGAGAGTGCACAATGTCTCCTGGCATTTCCCGGCAGCCTGCGTGTTTCCAAGGTGACCTGGTGCATCACCTCCAATCAGAGGAGGAATAGACATTTGGTTGTTTGGTCCTGACTTATCTGACAGTGAGGCCTGGCCCTGAGCACTCTGTCTTCTTGTCCCTCAGCTCTCTGGGTATATAGTCGCAGCTCTTGCTGGTAGTGCCCAGATATTAGTGAGATGAGACGCATATGCATGAATAAGACAACCAATTTTTACAAATGACCCCTATGACAACTAATCACATTCTTATAATCAAAATATAGCATTTGGCCTAAATTAAAGCCGATGTCCTATAGCAAAAGGTTGTGACCTTGGTAGAGACAGTGCCTACAAGCTGTAAGAAATGTCGCAAATAATCTGGGGTCTCAAGGGAGGAGGAAACCTCGCTGTTTGGGATGGGGGACAGAGGAGTAAGATTATCTTCTCTTCCAAGAATCTGAACGGCTGGTTTACTGGATGAGAATTCTGTCATGTACCTACACAATTCCTACATCACACTTCATTTTCCAGGGCTCTAGACTCAAACTCAGGAAATCTATGGATAAACTACAGACTAATAGAGGAAACCAGAAGTAATCATCGTGAAGATCATGAGAATGCATTACATTTCAGGTGCAATGATTACATCACTTCCTAACGCACTGAATGACAAAGGGTGTTACTAGATATAGAAGGTGACTAACAGTGATAAAGATTCATGTGAACAATGTAATAATTCCAGAGTTGTCTGATCCTAAAAATTTAGCCTCAAAACATATAAAATAAACGTATTTTTCTCTACATAGAAAAAGGTAAGTAGAAGTGCTGTACTCGAGAAAAGTTTTTGAAATTAAGGTATAATTTATATTATAAAATTCACACTTTAAAATGACAATTCGGTGGTTTTTAGTATAGCATAGTCAGAGGTTGTGTAATCATCACCATCATAAATCCAGAATGTTCGCCCGGCCAGCGTGGCTCAATGGTTGAGCGTCGGCCTAGGAACCAGGAGGTCATTGTCAGATTCCCTGTCAGGGCACATGTCTGGGTTGCGGGCTCAATTCCCAGTGTGGGCCGTGCAGGAGGCAGCCAAACAATGATTCTCATCATTGATCTTTCTATCTCTCTTCTCTCTCCTCCTCCCTTCCTCTCTAAAATCCTCTCTCCCTTCCTCTGAAATCAATAAAAATATATTTCAATCAATCAATCCAGAATGTTTTTGTCATTCCAAAAAGAAACCCTAGACCCATTAAAAGTCCTTTCTGAGCTTTCTTCCGGCCTCACTGGCTGCTCTTCCTAGCCCATATTCGCTGTTCCTCCTCTTTTCTCAATATTGAATGCCCCAGGGCTCACTTGGTTCCCCTTCACTTCATTGGTGATCTCATCCAGGCTCAACTCTCTGTCAGAGCCTACATTTACATCTCCATCCCAGATTTGTATATTTAACAGCTCACATACTCTCTCTACTTGAAAGTCTCAAAGGTACCTTAGACTCAACAAGCCCGCTCAGAGCTTCAGATATTTCCCTCCACATTCCTCAGCGTCGTCTTCATCTCAGATGATGGCAGATCCAGTTCTTTCAGTTTCTCAGGCGCCACATTGGGAATCATCCTTCAGTCCTCTCTCTCTCTCTCTCACCCCACAAGCAATCCCAAAGTCACAATGGTCCTCTTGTCTCTGCTTTCGAAATAGTTCTAGAAATCCACCTCCATTGCTCCCACCCTTGTCTGAGACATCGTCTCTCACATGGCCTCCCATGGATTACTGCAGCAGCCTGCGCCCTCACTGGTCCAGTTCCTTCTACTCTTGCCCTCTCCTGGTGATTCTCAACACAGCAGCCTGAGTGATGGTTGAAAGCACAGTTGGTGTTGTGTCATAAGCCTGCAATGGCCCTGCCTTTCATTCAGGTCAAAGCCCTGCTCTGACCGGGCCCCTGTCTTTCTCCCACCTCACCTCCAGCAGTTCTTGCCGCCCCTTCTCTTCCCACACTGGCCTCCTTGCAGTTCCTGGAACACAGTGTCATGAGTGCCTGAGTGCCTCTGCACTAGAGGTTCTCTCCGCTTGAAGAGTCCTCCATCCGGATACCAGCATCCCTGGCTAACTCCCACCTTCCAGGTCTTTTTTCATTCACCGCTCAGTAGGACCTCCTCTGTGTAGGCCCCTTCCCACCAGACTCCCACTGTTCCTTCCTTTCTCTACTTTCTTTTTGCTATGGCATTTATCATCTTTGGGTATATTCTACAGTTTATGCATTTGTTTGTTAATTTTTTATTGCCTTTCTTCTGCAGCTAGAATGTAAGTGTCAAAGGGATCTTTGTCTGTTTTGCCCACTGATGTATCCGAGCACCTAGAATAGTGTTTGGCATATAGTGGTCATTAAACATTTATTGATTCCTTCTTAATGAATGAAATGTTGAATTAGATCATTGGCTTTTCATCTTTCCAAAGGTTGAGGCTAAAGAGTGATATTTTTGGACTATCAAGGTCAACGATGGCATTCAAGTACATTCCTCCCCAATGTACAGAGGCCCCTTCCAGTCCCATTGACACATAGATTGTACCACTGCTCAGCCATGTCACCAGGAGTAAGGGCGAATGTGTAGGGTGTGTGGGATGGGCCTCCTCAGGTAAAAAGGGGGGACTAACCTTTGACACTTTCTCCTGTCTCCTGGGTGAGCTCTTATCCAAATTAGAAGATTGTCATCATAGTCTTAACAGCTATCAAGCAATTATGTGTCTTAAAAGATGGAGAAAAGGCTAAGGCACCGATGGCCTTGGAGAGTGTTAAGAGAGCGTTAAGAGAGCACTAATGCTTCCGGGCTTGCCTCTGAGATGCTCTGGCCCTGCTAGGAGAATCCTGTGCAGAGCCCCAGCCTGTCCTTGCTCATTGTGGCATATCCCCCCTCCTTCACCCCCTTCATTTGTTTGTTTTTGCCTCTCCTTGGTTTAAATTTTGCTACTTGATAAAATATTTGCTTAATGCTAGAAAAAGGGCCCTTTGCACTAAACTGTGTCATTGTGCTGAGAAGTAAAATCGAGTTTTGTTACTATCAGCATTACAAGTTCAAAACTATGTACAAGTGTAGGAAATGCTTTCTTTTGTTCTTTTTTAACCGTCACCCAAGGACATTTTTATTGATTTTTACAGAAAAGGGAGAGAGAGAGAGAGAGAGAGAGAGAGAGAGAGAGACCGATGTGAGAGAGAAATATCCATCAGTTGCCCGGTAGGGAACTCAAACCCGCAACCTAGGCATGTGCCCTGACCTAGAGTGGACCCTAGGTCCTTTCTCGGTACACGTGGATGCTCCAACCAACCCAGCCACACCGGCTGGCCAGGGCGGAAGCGGTTTTAAAACGTGCAATGGAGGCTATTTTCTAGAAACCCTGATGCTCCAAAACACACAGCCTCCCTAGAAAATGTTTCCGATTCTCTTTCAGTAATATTTGGATTTTGTTCTTGAGGTGAGTTGAGTTTGTGATCGTTAGAAAACAAGTTTTGCCTAAATACCACACAATGTCCTTTGTGATAGAATTCTGTACAATAATAAGTTTATTCGTCTTTTTCTAATATGTGAGGGGTTTATTTGGAGTGGTTTTTTTTGTTTTGTTTTTAATAAAAAAATGTAAGAGTGCTGCCAGTCAGGAGGAGAAAAGGACTAGTGGAAACCAAAGGCAGGAAATATTTCCTTGCTGCCCCCTAGGCACCTCCTCTCCCCCATGAAATTCAAATGTGAATCACACTAAGCCATAAAAAATGTCCCGAGGAAATTCTACAGTGTCCTGGCTTTTCACATGATAAGTCACTGCTGCACATTCTTCTCTCTCCACAATGGAAATGGTTTTGAAAGATGGTGTGGGCTTTGCAGGAGGAGCCTTCCATGCATGCTTGCGCGGGGGTGGGGGGTGAGGGCTGGCCCGAGGTTCAGCCGCGTACAGGACTGCACAGCACGTGCTCAGTATTTCTACATGTGTTTGCAAATCAGGTGCATGTAAAAGAGTTTCCAAAACTTGGAGCACCTCTCTGAGACCGGGGAAGGCAGGCCAGAGCCAGGGAGGCCCCCCGCGGAGC